TTAATTTCTTAGAGTCGTGTTTCTACGTGCATGTCTTTTATTCTTTTTTACAAAAATGGAAACATATTAATACCACTTTGTTATTTGCTCTTTTTACTTGATAATATACTGTGAAAAAATTTGCATATTATTAAATGTCCTACAACATTTTCAATGACTATTGAGAATAAACATTCCATAGATGTGCCAACATCTATTCAACCATTCCCTTATCATTGAATATTTATGTTCTTTCCATCTTTACATTATAATTATGTTCTAATGAATATCTTCATACCAGTATCTTTATAATAATCTTTTACAATAATCTTTTATTTCCTTAAGAATAAATTTGAGCCAGGCGTGGTGGCTCACGCCTATAATCCTAGCACTCTGGGAGGCCAAGGTGGACGGATTATTGGAGCTCAGGAGTTTGAGACCAGCCTGAGCAAGAGCCAGACCCCATCTCTACTAAAAACATAGAAAGAAATTAATTGGCCAACTAAAAACATATATTAAAAAAAATAGCCGGGCATGGTGGCACATGCCTGTAGTCCCAGCTACTCGGGAGGCTGATGCAGAAGGATTGCTTAAGTCCAGGAGTTTGAGGTTGCTGTGAACTAGGCTGATGCCACGGCACTCTAGCCCAGGCAACAGAGTGAGACTCTGTCTCAAATAAATAAATAAATAAATTTGTACCGGTAAAATGATTTGGTCAAAATTTATATAAAATTATAAGTTTATTAGTAGAAATTAAGAAATTGCTCTTCAAAAAGACTGTACAAGTTTTTAGTCCAACCAGCAGTTTTATTAAATGTCACACATTGGTTACAGAAGCTTGTTTGTATTACTTGAAAATTCATGTGCACACACACACATTCGGAGAAACACAGATTCCCAGCGCTACTGCTGGGCTTATTATAACAGGTGCAAATACGGCAGCCACCAGCTCACCCTGACCTCTCTGAGCCTGGCCCCGCAGGATGGGCCCCAGCATTCATATCTTCTACGCAGTGATTCTGGCCAAAGCTATTTAAGCTAAGGGTGGGCATTTGATCCAAGTTAGGTCATTTTATTCTTTCTCTGCGAAATTTCACAAAGGAAAGAAGAGACATAGAAACTGAAAATAATTGGATTTGACTCATTAATTGAAGCCTCCCAATGAGAATATTAACAAATTCCTGCTGTTGAAATCCTAAGAGCTATAATGACCTTCCCATCTCTGAGACATAGTTTTCATTGTACCAAACCAGGCTAAACCAGCCAATGAATCATGACTGAAATAGTAATAAAACTCATATTTATTAGGTGTTTACGATGGAACAGGCAATGTCCTAAGAGCTTTACCTATATTGTTTCATTTGATCTTTATAATAAGCTTATGAGGTTGGTGATACAAAGATCTTGATTTTGGAGCTGAAGAAACTGAGGGACAATGCAGTTAAGTGATCTACCTGTTTGCCCAAGGTCACGTAGCTCATAAGTGACAGAGGTGATATTGGTGCCAGAACAGTTTGGTTGCAAAGCCCACGTTCTTAATTATTACACTGGCATGGCACTACCCTCGGGAAGTCATGGAAACCTCATCTCAACACAACCCAAAGGAGCCACACTGTGGCCACCACTGGCATGGGCAGCGCACAGACAGGTTCCACTAGTCCAAGGCTCACTGTGGCCCCAAAGATCAGCAAACTGGGCTTGAGATGGCTGCTCAACACAACCAGCTGATGGACACCTGAGGAACATCCACCTGGCACAAGAGGATCCTGTTCTACTCTAGTTGTGGCTAAACAGAGGTTCAGCCTGAATGTGGTTGCTTTTACTTGGCATCCTACAATACCAGGAAGGGTTGTGATTCAGAACCCAAGGCGGAGCACTCTTAATTTTTAATTTTTAAAGCATATCTGGAGATCCATTCAGGCCTCACCTGGAAAGCAAGCCCCGGGATGAGGGCCAGAGAGACGTTAGCATGCCAAAGGGCGAGAATTAGATTATCCTACATAATTATAAGTGGTGATACTACCAGGTTTAAAACACATCTGTTGAATTGACAGGAAACAAGATATCAGATTGTTGTGTTCAGTTGTATAACCTGTACTATAATTATGTTAATTATTGGGGACTCTTGAGGTGAATGCATGTTCAGTAGCCAACTTGACATTCCTGAATCGAGAATATAGAAGGATAGAGTGAACCTATGATGATGCTTTCTCTAATAATGACTTTGGGTCCTACAGTAGGTCCCCACTGCATTGATTTAAAAAAAAAATCATCCTATTAACAGTCAAAAAAGCCAGTATGTCTCTAATTTTACCATCCCTTCCCAATTTTAGAGTCTCTACTTCCCCTCGAATCCCTTCTAGACAGTTTTGGAGAGTCCCCACCCAGGCAATGGTTTTGCTTCTCTGTGGCATGGGCAATTTTCTCTAGCCTTCTCCAGCCTGCTGTGGCCATTCCCTTGGTGTCAGCCATCCTGCTGATAGACACTGATGGCAGCACTGCTGCTGTGGGCACCAGCTCCAGGGGCCTGTGCTGCTGCTCATTCCCACCACATCTGTGCAGAGGCCTCCAGTGCTTGCTCTGCCAGCATGAAGGTCCCTGGGGACAACCATTTCCTGTTCCTGCAGGGGCTGCCAGCACCAAAGTAACTTCCCTGGCACAACCCTGTCCCTCAGAGAGCAGGTACACAGGGTTTGTTATTGGGTTTGTTATTTCCCACATTGCAACCACCTCATCCTGAGAATAATGTACCAGGAGGCATCCAAAGTCATTTTCCCTTAACTCTCCTGGTTTGTCATCTCTGAATCAATTTTGTTCACCCATTTGTCTTCCCTCAAGGTACATTCTCTCCTCGAAGCCCCTGTGATCACTCATGTAAGTAGACACCCCCCCTTGCAGACATTCCAGACATGTCTGAATACATGAGCACACACTGATTAGGCTTGAGCTGGAATTCTTGCTATTATATCTATTATCATTATTGCTATTATCCCATCATTATCATCATCATCATTATGTTGATGATGATGATGAACTGGAGTCTATTAGTGACACTTGCTATATATCAGACCACATTGGGGAAAATTAGATGCATTCCCTCCATCTCATTTTTCCAATATAAAAACATTTCTAAAAGAATACCAATATTTAATAAGCCTAGCACAGCATTTTTCTTCTTTAAAATAAACACAATTGATGTTATGTGCTAGAGAAAAAAATATATGTAATAATACCAGCACTGAATTTTTCGTCTCTGTATGTATATAATTGATGTTGCATGCTGAAATAATAAAGGTGAAAAAAGAAGCTTCAAAATGGCTCATCTGTAAGATTTTTGGCTTAGGAGTTAAAAGGTCTGGGTTCTAATCACACTTTACCAGTTAATTCACTGTGTGCCTTTGGAAAAGGCTGAGAACCACTCCAGACTTTAGGTTCCTTATTAATAAAATGAGATTGTTTTGGAAACATTTCATGGATGTTCAATTCCAAAAACAAAGTGAGTGCTTAACAAATAATAATTGGTTTTCTTTCTGATTTCTCATTGTTTACCAAGAACTATACAAATAATATGTTCGATGTCAGTTTTGGAAAGCAGCTGTCAGCTATGGGTATGAGACTGGTAGCTGAACACATAAACCAAGAGACAGGTAGATATTAGTAGGATTGTTAAAGAGGAAGTTCAAAACATCTTGTCTGCAGTGTGTTACTGATTAAAAAAAAAACTATCTCTAGAATCCATGGACTCAGGAGACTGAGGTTTAGGATCACTTGAGGCCAGTAGTTCTAGACAAGCCTGGGCAACATTTTTAGAGATGCCCATATCTAAAAAACAATGAAAAAAATTAGCCAGGCATGGAGGCATGTATCTGTAGTCCTAGCTACTCAGGAGGCTAAAGTGAGATGATCTCTTGAGCACAGAAGTTCCAGATTCTAAGTGAGCTGTGTTCATGCCAGTACAATACAGACTGGGTGACCTTGTCTCTAACGAAAGAAAAGAAAGAAAAGAAAGGAAAGAAAGGAAGAAAGGAAGAAAGAAAGAAAGAAAGAAAGGAAGGAAGGAAGGAAGAAAGAAAAAGGAAGACTATCAGTGAGCTAAATGATTGTTCTCAATATCTGGGTATCTATGTATCATCTATCTTTGTTTTATTTTCACAACAACCACAATCATCTTGATGCCTTGACTAGCAAGCTGTAACAAAAGCTACAAGAGCAGTAGAAACAATGAGAGATGTGAATAAAGGACAATCACTGCCATGTTTTTTCTTCTTCGCCCCTGCTCCTACCTGCCCCCGCTCCACTCCCATCCTTCAGATGCCTATATAGTGCTGAGCAGTTTCTTCTGGTAGCAACACTTATCATGATGAATCATTTTAGGTGCTATTTAACAGGGACTGGAAAATTTTCAATTTGTACAAGATAACTTATTCTTTTTATTTAAAAAAAAATCTATATATCAAGAAGAATGTGTTAAGCATTGTGTTTAGAACTGTGGGGAACAAAAAGATGGATAAAATATGGAGGCTGCTTTCAAAGAACTAGTATTAGAGAATACTCATTACCCAACTTGTGTTAGAGAATGAGATTTACACATCTGTAATATGCTACATTGGTGTGTTGCTGAGCAACAAATAACCCCTAAACTCAGTAGCCTAAAACAACAAACATTTAGGATTTCACAGTTTCTGTGAGTCAACAATTTGAGAGTAAATGAACTGGGTAATTCGGATCCAGGTCTCTCAAGAGGTGAAGTCGGGATGTGAGCAAGGGCTGTTGTCCTCTAGAGGCTTGATTGAGGCAGCCAGATCTGCTTCCATGGTGGCTCACTCACATGGCTGATGGCAAGAGGCCTCAGTTCCTTGCCACGTGGGCCTCTCCACATGGCTACTTGAGCATCCTCACAGCATGGCAGCTTCTCTCCCCAGACCAAGTGATCTGAGAGAAAGGAAAGGCAGAAGTTGCAGTGTCCTCTATGGCCTGAACTTGAAAGCCACACATTATCATTTCCAAAATATCCTGTAGGTTTCATAGGTCAGCCCATTTCAATGTGGCAGGCAACTGCCCAAGACCATGAATACCAGGAGGCACAAACCGTCGAGGACCGTCTTGAGAATGGCTGCCGCAATACATGACAGAGTCTCCCCAGGTCTCCCTTACCTGCAAGTCAAAGTCACATCAATATTTCAAATCTCACCAGCTCTTGCTGCAAGCGCTAACTCAACATCCCAAGCTCCTAAAAATGTTCTTTATTCCCTGGCATTTCTGAGAGTTCCTAGAGAGGCTGCCCCACTGTCACACAGCACCATTTTTCCGCTCAAGGTGGTTGCTGCATCAGGAATTGCCACTGAAGAAATGGAGCCCTCGGTGCCAACCAGGCAGCATTTGTTCCAAAGCCGAGGGATCTCCCCTCTACCTGGAATCTCCATTCTCCTCTGGTAACTCGTCCTCCCTGTTGGGTCAAAGTCATCGCTCTTGAGTCCGTCCTCCAGCAGTTTGCATTCTCTTCCTGAAGCCCCCTCAACCCTCGGGCAAATAGGCCTGTTCACCAGTTCGCCAGACAGGCCCTGATATGTCAGTATTACCCCTAAACTAGGCATTCCCATGCTTCCCCTTCCCGTGATGGCCTCATAGATTTACAAGAATAAAATAGAAAGTTTAAAATGCCTTAAGATAGCGGAACATTTTGGGACAATTGCTGAGTCTCAGCACTAAACGTTAGCTTTCTTTTTTTTTTTTTTTTTGAGACATTGTCTCAATTTGTTGCCCAGGCTAGAGTGAGCCTCGCTCACAGCAACCTCAAACTCCTGGGCTCAAGCAATCCTGCTGCCTCAGCCTCCCGAGTAGCTGGGACTACAGGCATGCGCCACCATGCCCGGCTAATTTTTTCTATATATATTAGTTGGCCAATTAATTTCTTTCTATTTTTATAGTAGAGACGGGGTCTCACTCTTGCTCAGGCTGGTTTCGAACTCCTGACCTCGAGCAATCCGCCTGCCTTGGAACTCCCAGAGTGCTAGGATTACAGGCGAGAGCCACCGCGCTTGGCCTAAACGTTAGCTTTCAACTAGCTAAATTTCCGTCACTGCCACTCTTGCAATGAGGTCAAATGGAGTCTGGAGTCTGGAGTCCAGCCCGTCAGTCACTGTGGTGCTAGCCTGGAGTGATAAACCTTGTAGCCACACATGGGCAGATGAGCAGACAGATAAACTGCCACTTTAACAGAAATGCTGCCTAAATTTAACACAGAAACTTGCTCTGCACATTCAAGTCAAAGAGAAAAAAGCGACCTTTAAGGTTACCATAATAAACTTACCTTTATTTTTATTCCCTTTCCACCATTATGGAAAAAAGTCATCTACTTAGATATTCGTCAATAAAGCCTGAATTTGAGCAGAAAGCTGGAGTGAACTTCGTGAAAGGTTACACTGTCACTAGAGCCATTAACAGAATGAGTTTCACATTCATCCCTCTACCCTTGATTGAAAGCTCGCTGCCTTAAGTCAAAGTTTCTGTCACCATGGAAGCCAGAAAACAGTTAGGATAGAAGTAAAATGGCTCAAGATATTCATTTATAAAAGGAGTAGTAAATCGTGTAGTGGAAATCCAAGGCAGACAATAATAAATGAAGCAGGTTCCCATCTGACTTTTAAAGTTTTGCAAAGTTGAAATTCGTATTGATGGGACTCGTTAAGATGTGAATTTATGCATCAGACTTAGAAACTGTGACCATTCAGATTCAGCATCATTATTGCAGAAGTCTAGCTTTGTTTGGCAAGGCTTTCTCTGTAACCATAATAAAGGTTAACCAAGTCTCACCACAATAAAATGACAAGTATGTGAAATAACACATATGCATATTTCGCCTGATTTAGACTTTCTACCATGTTTACCTGTTTCAAAACAACACGTTGTACATGATAAATATATACAACTTCTATTTTTCAATTAAAACAAGTTTTTTTTTTAAATTAATCATGGTACTAAGACTTTTAGTCAAAAAAAATGTCTCAATACATTGAACATGCTGATGGGATCACATCAAAACATTCACTCTCTGGAAATGAATGTGGGGTGTATTCGTTTTCTGTTGCTGTTGTAAAAAAATAACCACAGATGTAGTAGCCTACAGCAGCACCCATTTATTATCTCACAGGTCTGTCGATCCGAAGTCCAGTTACAGTGTGGCTCAGCTGGCCCCCTCCTTAGAACATGGCAAGGCTAAAAACAAGGTATTGGCAAGGGTGTGTTCTTCTCTGAAGGTTCCGGGGATGAATCCACCTGCCATCATTCAAGGTGATAGCTGGACTCAGTCCCTGCAGCTGTAGGACTGAGGCTCCCACATCTTTGCTGGCTGGTATTGACCCCTAGAGATCTCTTTCTGTTCCTCCTTATACCTGACCTTCTCCATCTTCAAGCCAGCAGTGGCATGTGAAGTCTTTCTTACACTTCAAATCTTTCTGGCTTTTTCCCCTCTCAACTGGAAAGAAGCTCTGCTTTTAAGAGCTCATGTGATTACACTGGCCCGCCTGGATAACCCAGGATAATCTCTCTGTCTTAAAGACAGCTGATTAGTAACCTTCATTACCTCCGCAAAGTCTCTTTTGCCATGTAAGGTAACAGATTTGCTGGTGTGACATCAGAAAAGCAAAGTCATGGGGCCAAAGTTCTGCCTACCCCCATGTGGAAAGAGTACAGGGAGGAATTTTCCCTTTACAGGTATAATAAATGCTTTTCCATTGCTTGCATTTTTTTCTTAACACAAGCATATATTCATTTTGAAATTTTAAAAGTCCTTTTATTTAAAAGGTTAAAAAATATTTAAACAGTCATCTATTTTCAAGTACACTCAACTTTATCAGAATCCTCGATTAGCAAATAATATGAATTGCATTCTTCTCTGTTAATTTAAATAAGGAAATCTGCTAGCTATTATTGTTGAGCTTAGTTTGATTTAAGGTAGGCAGTTTAAAGTTATAAATTGTGTCAGTGAAGGTTTTTACAGAAAATTTTCTTTTTTCCAAAGGTATATTGCTGACATCACCTAGAGAATTAAAAATACATCTCCAGATGTGATCAAATGTGATTTATGAAAGAAAAAAGGTTTAAGTAACTAATTAAACAATCAAGACTTTAAAGTGTGCATTTTGTACTCTCAGCACTAAGTACCATGAGAAACACAGAAGAGGAAGATGGCTTTCACGTTACTTGTAATCTCATTAAGAACACAAAAGGGGAAGATATTTCCCACATGCAAGGGAACTGGAGCTTGGCAATAATTTTCTGGCTTTTTGAACGTCTGTCCCTCAATTCCTCTTTCCCAAGGGAGGGAGTAGCTGCTGTGTCACTATACTCCAGTCCCTTCTTATCACACTATCGCAAATTTTTCAGGGCTCTGACACAGACAGCTGCATAGGCTGTCCTTGCAAACAACGATGACCTTTGCTGCCTCCAATCAGAAAAGTCAGAAGTTATCACAATAAACTTAATTCCTCCTCTACATGTTATTGAGTACTCAGAGATAAAATGCGAAATACGTAGGATTTGAAACAGCAGTTAAAATCATCAACAGCCCAATTTTCTAATTCTATCATATTACACTGTGATTATAACCTTTCCAATATCATCAGTTTCACCTTCAGCTCTCCTAAACTTATTGACTTCGTATTTTGGCAGTGCATAAAGGTTGTTTCTGTACTGCTTTTCTTTTCACATCATAACTAGGATTCTCCAACTTCCTGGAAATATTTATCTAGCAGTTTAAAATAATTTCTACAGGATGTTAAAAGGCTGCCTTGGCCAATGTCCCTCTTTCTTCACTAATTATCAAACAGATAATTTAACTTGGACTAAAAATGTCGTTTATCATAATCCATCCCAGAAGAGGTTATCAGCCAAAGTCAAAAACATGAATGTCTGTTGTTCTCAATCCTGCTACATTGGCCAAAATTCTGAATAATTTTAGTAACATTACACAGAGTATGCTTTTAGTCTATCTCTGGCCACTCAAATAGGCTGGAAGCTGGGATCAGGACATTTCAGATATTTAGTCCTATCAGAGTGTTATTATAAATAACAACACTATTAAATTAATAAGTAAAAAAAGTTCTGCCTTTTTATAGCATTCTGCAGTCTAGAATACCCAACTGTACTTTAACAGAATAATATACATCACAGCAGTTGCATTTTCTAGCAACTGCAAGGCATAGTAGAAAGAACATTGGTTTTGAAGTCAGACATTAACTGAGTTGAAAAGTAACCTGAGTAGTCCCTATCAAATACCAGAGCATTCTTCACAGAAATAGAAAAAAATCCTAAAATTTATGTGGAATCACTGAAGACTCTGAATAGTCAAAACCATCCTGTGCAAAAAGAATAAAGCCACAGGCATCACACTACCTGACTTCAAAATATTCTACAAAGCTATGGTAATCAAAACAACATCACACTGACTTAAAAACAGACACACAGACCAATGAAACATAATAGGGAACCCAGAAATAAGTCTATATTTTTATGCCCAACTGATTTTTGACAAAGGTGTCAAGAACACTTATCGGAGAAAGGACAGTCTCTTCAATAAATGATGCTGGGATAAGTGGATATTCACATGCAGAAGAATGAAACCAGACCCTGTCTCTCACAGTATACAAAAAAAATCAACTCAAAGTGTATTAAAGACTCAAAGTGTAAGATCCAAAACTGAAACTAACAGAAGAAAACACAGGGTAAACACTTGAGGACATTGGTCTGGGCAAAGATTTTATGGAGAAGACCTCAAAAGCATAGGCAACAAAAGCAAAAATAGGTAAGTGGGATTATATCTAACTATCAATAAAAAGCCTCTGCACAGCAAACAATCAACAGAGTAAAGAGACAACCTGCAGAACAAGAGAAAATAATTGCAAGCTATCCATCTGACAAGAGATTAATATCCAAAATATATAAGGAACTCAACTCAACAGCAAAAATAATAACAATAATAATAAATTTAAAAATGGACAAATGACCTGAATAAAAATCTCTCAAAGGAAGACATACAAATGGCCAACGGTGTATGAAAAAAATGCTCAACATCACTCATCATCAGGGCAATGCAAATCAAAACCACAAGGTGATATCATTTTACCCCTATCAGAATGACTATTATCAAAAAGACA